CTTTTTTTCTGTGCAAAAAGTCACAATTATGATCAACTAGATTTTGGTTAAAGAAAATTTTGCTATGTTTTTGGATAAACCATTTTAACATTAGTCCCACTAATTTTAATATACAATTGTTAATATGGGGGTGCCTTAGTTCATTTGAATTGCTATGACAAAATTATCTTGGACTGAGTGTGATGCTTGATCTTGACTGTCAACTTGATTGGCTTAAGAGATGCCTATGGTAGGACGTGATGATGATGATGATTTTTTTTTTTTTGTACCAGGGATTGAACTCAGAACCTTGTGCTTGTGAGGCAGGCAGTGGCACCACTGAGTTAAATCCCCAGCCCATGGTAGGAGATTATTAGAGCACATTTCTGGATATGTTTGGGTAGATTCTAGAGGCATGACCTTGGGGGCAATATCAGGTCTCTAACCCCCTTCTCTCTGGCTTTTGCCCTGCTCCCTGCTTCCAGGTTGCCATGAAGAGAGTAGTAGCTTTCCTCCCCCACACCTTTCTGCCAGGATGTTTCTGACCGTGGACTGAGCTCTCTTAAACCATAAGCCATAAATAAACCTTTCCTCCTTTAAACTCTCACTCTTGGGTATCTCGTCACAGTGACTGTTACACTGGGTAACTTATAAATAGCAGATATTTGTTTCTCACAGTTCTGGAGGCTTCAAGGTGTCAGCAGATCTAACATCTGGTGAGGATATTCTCTCTGCTTCAAAAGACAGTACCTCTTTGAGCATCCTCACAAGCCTCAGTTATAAGGGCACTAATTCCACTGTGTGGGTTCTCCTTTCATGACCTAAACAATTCTGGAAGACTCCCCCTCTTACTACCACAACAATGGAGATTAGATTTCAACATGAATTTTGGAGAGACGTAGACATTCAGACTGTAGCATAGGCCAAAACAGGGTTGGGCATTCATGGGAAATGGTATAAAAGGGACCTGACCACTGGCATCATGAGATTCAGTGAGGGTGGTTTGCTGCAGCTAAGGTATTAGGGATCAGAGTCATTAGTCCAACTATTTCCAGTGAAAATATGACTAATAGCAAAAGTCAAAGGTCACCGTCAAAGGTCGTGGAGTTATTCCAGAAGGAGGCAGGCAGACTCTTAGTGTGTGGTCTAGGATGGGAAGGAGAAATTGCTGCTCAAGTCAGGAGGATGTTAATGGGCCTCACAAGTATCCTGGAAGCAGACATTAGATGAAGAGCATGGAAAGCACTGGTTGGGGAATCCGCTCATGAGAAATACCCTTGAAGTTTCAATTCCCCTTTCCCCCAGTGTCTTGCAGTCTTCAAGAAGCCTTGTCCTAAGATATTTGAGAAACTGGCATTGGCCAAGTTAAACAGTTTGCTTTTGTCTTCTTTCCAGTCTCGTTCATCTTTTGCTAGGGTCGTCCTTTGTGTGAGTGTTCATGTTATTGACCCCCTGTCTTCAGGGCATTACTTTGAGTTGTATTTATTGTAGTGATGATGCATTAAGGTTGAGCCAGTGAAACTCTCTCACAAGTCTCCCCTGTGAGTATGGCTTTGCATTTGTGGAAAAATTATAGGAGTCCTTGGAAGACTATGTATTTGCTACAGGGCTGATGAGATTGAGACAGTCCATGGCTAGGGTACTAACTTCTGTTCATGCAAAGCAAAGTTATTATTTTCTTTCTCTTCTTTGGAAAACCATATTTAAACCCCAGTCACTTCTCACTAGTACTGTTCTATTCTCATTCTCTTTATAGACAAAGTAATTACCAAGCCAACCAGGCTATGGCTGGGCCAAGCATTGTGGGGATTACATGGATGAGTTCGATAGGCTCAAACATTTCCCAGGGCTCCAAATCCCACAGGGAAGACTACAAAGCATTTCATAGCAAAAGTATGAATGGATTTTATGAAGAGAAGCAAAATAGGGAAAAGATATTTCTAACCCAGTGGTGATAGAAAGGGCTTGAGTTAGGCCTCGGAGAAAGTATAGACCTGTGATGGGCACAAACGAGGAAAGGGCATCCAGGAAGGAGGGATGGGTCTCAGCACATCCAAGTCAGGGTACAATGCACTGAGGCTGAGTGAGCCTGTGTGGAGACCAGGGGAACACGGGAGTGTGGTTCTGGTAAGACTGGGGATGGTGGCTGGGGTTTTGTCATGGATGGTCATGCCTGCCAGAGTGGAAAACGTGGGAAACCAGACAATGTTTCTGGAAAAGGGAGTCGATCTAAGCATTACACACAATTCTGTGCAGAATGGTGGCATGGGTGAAGGTGGGGGAGTGGGACAGAGTGGAGCTAGAAGGTCCCATCAGGGAGCTTCTGCAGCCCTTCAGGTGACAGTGATGAGGTTGTCACCTAGGAGAGTGGCAGTGAGAGAGAAGAGGAGGCCATGGACTTGGGAGGGAGCCAGTGGAGGGAGGCACGAAGAGCTCAGGTTAAAAGAGGCCAGGAGTCCGAAGGAGGTGAGGAAGGAGATGAATGTTCTCTTTTGAAATAAGACAAAGAACTCACTTTTGAATATGTTAAATTGTGTATTGTGAATATCTGGCAAGTGAACCCATTCCTTGAGGGTCGGGATAGATCCCATTTGCCTGTAAAGCTCCAGCACACAGTGAAGCACTTATTTGTATATTCCCTCCGTCAATATCGACTAAATGTTCGCTCTCTACCATGTACAGGGTGTAGTGTATTAAAGGAGTCCAATTGGTAGACTTTACTAATAATATGGAAATGTTCTGTGTCTGTAAGGATCAGATCATGGGATGTCCACTCTGCCCTGCTGTGCCCCTCAGCCTAGAAGTGGGCAAGGAACACAGAGTTTGGAGAGCATATATATATATATATATATATTCCAAAAGTACGAAGGGGCTAGAATGGGTGAGTAGAGTGAGTCATTTAAGCATTTTTGACTCAGTCAAAAGCAGGTACATCATAAAATTACTTGTATTTACAGCTCTTGTTGGCATAAGTTTTATATTTTCTTTCAAGTTTAACCTTTCCGCAGGTGTTGACGTTTTTCAAAATTCCAGCCTGTCTTTGTTAGGTAAGTGAAGAAAAACAAAGCTAACTTTAGATTTTTTTTTTTCTTTCTTGGGCTGAAGTTTGATGTGGAAAGTAGCCTATCAGGGGAGCCAGGCAGAGTGTCAGGGTTCTAAGTAGGAGTAGGCACAAGGGAAAGGAAAAGCTGAGGGGTGAAGTCAGGTCTGCTGTTTAGAATCATTTTCTATTGGAGAGTTCCCTTTCCAAGGGCTTTGCTTGGCATTGGCACTGCTGTGTGGCAAAGTGGATGAATTTAGACTCCAGTCAAAAAGCTGGATTGGAGGAGTCCCGGTAAGATTAATAAGTATTTGTGCAAATCATTTGCTCTTTTTAGGCATCCATTTCCTTGTTTTGAGTGGCGATAACAGGCAGATTTGCTTCACTTTGTAACATACTAGATGATTTGCCTGATTAATAAGCTCTTCTCTGTCTCCCCCTAGAATGTTAGTTTCGTGGAGTCAGAGATTTTGTTTGGCTTTGTTCCCTTATGAATCCCACAGGCATCTGGTTACCTTGGAGATAATAATGCCAAGAGAAAGGAAGAAGGGACTGTGATAAATGATTGGGGGTGAAGAAAAAGAGTGAGGTGGGCACATGCTCCTGAAAGACAGTGCATGCAGAGGTTTCACAAAGAAGGTGGTACCAGGGTGGGATACCGAAGAGAAACAGAAGACGAGAGGCTCTGTGATGGGTCTTTGGGTGTGATAGCTAGGAGTACACTGGTGCTTCAAAGAGCCCCAGTGCCATCGGATACTGGCAGAAAGACCCTAATAGGCAATGGGGAGTTGAAAACACTGGAAGGGTGATGCGATGACTGGAAGTGAGTTGCAGCTAGTCTTTCTAAAGTTTAGCAAAGTGGACGAGCAAGATGAGGGTTTGTCTTCATGACCGCAAAGGTTCAAGGGCAGAGTTGTCTTTTTAACCAAGGAAGAAAGATTCTAGGAAGAGATGGAAAGAAGATGTGATGACAGGTGACTATCCTTAAGCGAAACACCTGAGGAGGGAAAGTGCTGACAACCAAGGACATTGCTTGTTGAATGTGGATATGGGGCGGGGGAGAAACAGTGATGAAGCAGGCAAATGTGAGACTTAAGGAAGGATAATTGAGGGAGCTCAAATTGAAGTCGCGTATCATCCCGGTGATGTTAGTGCCAAGATAATCTGGCTGCAGTTTGGTGAGGGCTGGAGAAGGGTGAAAAAGAGTTGAAAGAAGAAAGGGAAACTCATGAGAAATCATAGAGATGATGGACAGGATTGCTTTGTGGGCCGCGATGAGGTGGAATTAGATGTCATGTCGCAGATCCAATCTAGTCTATTTTAGGACTCTTCCTTCCCCATAGTGTTCAGTGTTCAAAACGGGGATCAAAAGTAAAATACTCCCTGGAGTAATGTGAGATTACAAGCTGGGAGCTGGGTGCGGTGGTGCATAGCTGTAATCAGCCGTTCCTGAGGTTGAGGCAGGAAGATTGCACATTGAAGGCCAGCCTGGGCATCTTAATGAAATCTGTTCCCCAAACCAAAAATAAAAAAAGGGTCTGGGGATGTAGCATAGTAGTTGAGCACCTCTGGTTCCAGCCTCAGTGCCACCAAACCAAACCAACACCCCAGAACTGGAAGGGAGGCTGTATAGCTAGGGAACTGGGAATAGAAAACCTAGATCCTTATGAAAGTATGATTGAGAAAGTGGTGAAGAGCAAGAAGGAATTCTGTAAAGGAGTAAAAATTAAGGAATAGAAAGCCTCGGAGAGAAGGACCAAACCAGTAACAGTGAGATCCAAGAGGCAGAAAGAGTAGCGAGGCTGAGGTGGGGAATGGGAAATAAGGAGAATCAATGTACTTGTTCTGGCTCCCCACGATGAATGCAATCATTATGCACTAATAACATTTTTTTTAAAAAAATCTAAAAGAACAGTGAGATTATGAAGGAGGGGGAAGGTTAGATGTGTTTGTCTGATTTAGTCATTCTTTTTTTTTTCAGAAAAATAACAGAAGTAATGAAATCAGAAGTTTTTATGGATTAATTGAATAAACAACACCTCTTTGTACTTTTTGGCACACTGGGATCCTGAGTGGTGAGAACTGACAGTGGAGTTGGAACCAGCTGAAGAAAGAAAGCATTTCTCCTAGATCCATGTTTAACAAGAAGAAGGAGCGGGCACCATCCCTTGTCACATTCTTTGAAATTAATCTTTGGAAAGAGATTCTCAGCCGGAATTTTGCCTGAGGTTCTTCTTTAGAGAGCTGCTAAGTTATAGAAAGGTTTATACTAAGATGTTTTTATTTCCTTTTTCCTCGGCGGTAACAAGAATGAAAAGATGTGCCTCTGACAGAACACAAGGTGTTGTATGACTAATTAGGACACCACACCTCTATTAGCTTTGGTTAGTCTCACTGGCTCCCATTAATTCTAATAAATCTGACATTGCCCAGACTCCTTTCTGCCAGCATTTAAGGAGGTGATACGGGAAAGGTGTCCTTTTAAACTTGAGGTGAATGCCTGTTCCGCCTGTATCTAAAAACCTACCTTTTAAATGCAATGCCCCTGTTGCCAAGGTAGAGGAGACAGGTTCTGTCCAGTGGCCATTAGGTGGTGCTGCCAACCCACATTCAGAAGGCCACTTGGATTCTGCTGCCTTTCCTGTGGTTCTAACGAGAATATTACAAGATTCTTTCACAAAAGGTGAAAGTGGCTGAAAATTTGCTTTCACCTCTGTGAAACTTTTGAGGTTTATTTTTTTTTTCTTTCTCAAGAGTAGTTAGCTCTTGCTGTGAGGAGGCAGCTGTCTCAGAAGTGGCTGTCAGAGTAAAAAACAGCCACTGAAATTTGAATAGCTCTCTCCACTTCGTGAAGAAGTCTCACATGTCAGAGTTGCTAGAAGATAGCAGGTAAGCCATCAAAGATTGTTTGATTGAATAAGTGAAATCCTGCATGTAGAGAAAGTTAATTAATTCTAAAGTGGTATTTGCTGATGTAGAGATTGTCTCAGGGTTAGTTTATGAAAAAGAACTTGCTGTCTTTGTGGTAAATATGACACAGAATTCTGCTATTCTACTCAATGATTGCATGTTTATTACAGAAATTTGAAAAACAAGAAATTCTTATAAATATATTCTCAAATAATCTTTGTTTCCAAATAATGACTTCATTAAACAATTTGTTCTCTGTTACATATTCCTACATACACTACATTTTTTCAAAGCATTTTCTTTTAATTGACATACAAATTGTATTGTACATATTTGTTACATAGAGCATGAGTTTTGAAATATGTGTGTATTTGTAGAAAGGCTAAGAAGTTAAGCCACTTAACATACATCCCACCCCACATAGTTATCTTTTGTGGTGAGAACACTTAAAATTTACTTTTAGCAGTTCTTAAGACTCTAGTAACTATAATGCCACGCTATACAACAAGCCCCTTGAACTTATTCCTTCTATATCTAACTGAAAGTAGCCAGAGAAGGGTCAGAGGGTCAAGCTTGCTCTTTTGCAGTAACTTGTTGATGAAAGAGAAATAACCACGAACCTAAGGGAACTATATCCCCTGCTTCTGAAGGTAGCATCCCCAGTGATCTTTTACCAGGCTTACCTTTTAAAAGTCAAACACCTCCCAACTCCACCCACCGAGTCCAAGATTCCAACATCCTCCGAGACCATATCCAGACCATAGCAAGTGTGTGTTAGAGCAAACAAACCAACTTCTCCTTCGATGAGTCCACTGATCGGATCATAAGCACTTAACCTGGTTTAGAGAAGTAACAAGATTTGGCTCTTTTGTATTCTTTAACCATTAAAGGTAACCCCCACTGGGGCTGGCTTCGTGGACATCAGTCTGTGTGTGCCTGTGCCATTTTCACCGTGACATGTACACAGCTTCACGACCACCATCCCAGTGCGGACTGATCTTTTGCATAGAAGCAGCTTCTTGGAATGAAGACAGAGGATGAAACATGTTGTTATATTTTATTTCCCAGGGTTGAAGCAGAGATTACACCAAAGGAGTCTTCAGCAGTGCCGGTCCTGCCTGTGACTTGCCTTGATTGTCCTCTGAGAGGAAGCCACCCATATGCTCTACGACTTCTCAAGTTGCGAAGGCTCCTCTGGGAGCAATTTTGCCCCCGTCTTTCAACATTTCCTTCATGGCTTCAAGATTAAAAGATCACGTTCCAATGTGTTTTTGTTGCGTCTTTTGGGGGAGGCACTTTTCACAGGGTTGTGTGCCCCATCTGACCCAGAAACAGATGCTAATGTCAGCCGATGGGAGACTCCCAAGGAAGGACACATGGTCTTTCTGTGTCTTTCAGAGTGAGGATGCTGCTGGCAATAAAAGAGAGGGGGTATTATCTCACCATTACTCCAAAATGCCACCTTTCTAGGTGATACAATTCCTTTTCTTTGACAAAAAGAAAACTGTTGGCCCCCTTTTCAACGAAAAGTCAGAGCGTCATAATAGTTTATATCAATCTTATAGGTTTTATTTGAATTTGAAGCCCATAATTATACTCTAGTTCATCAGCCTGGGAAGTGGATCAGGACCTTGCCCTTGAATGTGAACTGTGACTGACATCCTTTATTGCCTCACACACAAGTAGCGTCCCCACAACATCATTAATGACAACCGGCTTCAGTTTCTTTGGGGGAAGGGAAACATAGAAACTGACAGAGCAGTCTGTGACCAGTGTTTTCCTCACTTTTTCCGATTGTTTTCCTCCTCAACCTTTTCACAACCATATGGCTCACTTAGTATGACAACATGTTAAAATGTGACTTGGCTTTACAACCTCTTTCCAATGCATCTGACATGGTTTTTGTAGAGATAGTGGATCTTTTGCTCTTACAGTCACATGAATTGTTTTTAGCAATATTTAATTAAATTATATAATTGCAGCAACAAGGACAAATGACATCACTGGATTGAGGGACAGGGCTTCCACTTGTGCCAAGCCACAGTGCAGGGACCAGGCAAGATTGTACGGATGCTCTGTGGGTGGTCTGCTTGCCAGCTGTGAGAACTTGGCACGCTATGGGCACTAAAAAGTCCATTTTACAGAAGGCTGTGAGAGCCCCGGTTAATCTTGCCTAGTTGTGGAGAGGCTGGTTAAGAGAGGCTATTTGAATGATTTTCAACAAGTATGTAGGTCCTCGCAGGTCGATGAGGGACTCTTCTATATTTTATTTTATTATAACAACATATAGAAAGGCAGCTCTTAAAGTTGGGTATAATGGCACACATGTATAACCCCAGCTGTTTGAGATGATGAGGCAGGAGGATTGCAGTTTGAGACCAGCCTAGGAAACTTAGTGAGACCCTGAGTCAGATAGGATGTGACAGGACAGGATAGCATAGGATGGGATGGGATGGGATGGGGTGGAACATGGGACGGGATGTGCAGTGCCGGTCCTGCCTGTGACTTGCCTTGATTGTCCTCTGAGAGGAAGCCACCCATATGCTCTACGACTTCTCAAGTTGCGAAGGCTCCTCTGGGAGCAATTTTGCCCCCGTCTTTCAACATTTCCTTCATGGCTTCAAGATTAAAAGATCACGTTCCAATGTGTTTTTGTTGCGTCTTTTGGGGGAGGCACTTTTCACAGGGTTGTGTGCCCCATCTGACCCAGAAACAGATGCTAATGTCAGCCGATGGGAGACTCCCAAGGAAGGACACATGGTCTTTCTGTGTCTTTCAGAGTGAGGATGCTGCTGGCAATAAAAGAGAGGGGGTATTATCTCACCATTACTCCAAAATGCCACCTTTCTAGGTGATACAATTCCTTTTCTTTGACAAAAAGAAAACTGTTGGCCCCCTTTTCAACGAAAAGTCAGAGCGTCGTAATAGTTTATATCAATCTTATAGGTTTTATTTGAATTTGAAGCCCATAATTATACTCTAGTTCATCAGCCTGGGAAGTGGATCAGGACCTTGCCCTTGAATGTGAACTGTGACTGACATCCTTTATTGCCTCACACACAAGTAGCGTCCCCACAACATCATTAATGACAACCGGCTTCAGTTTCTTTGGGGGAAGGGAAACATAGAAACTGACAGAGCAGTCTGTGACCAGTGTTTTCCTCACTTTTTCCGATTGTTTTCCTCCTCAACCTTTTCACAACCATATGGCTCACTTAGTATGACAACATGTTAAAATGTGACTTGGCTTTACAACCTCTTTCCAATGCATCTGACATGGTTTTTGTAGAGATAGTGGATCTTTTGCTCTTACAGTCACATGAATTGTTTTTAGCAATATTTAATTAAATTATATAATTGCAGCAACAAGGACAAATGACATCACTGGATTGAGGGACAGGGCTTCCACTTGTGCCAAGCCACAGTGCAGGGACCAGGCAAGATTGTACGGATGCTCTGTGGGTGGTCTGCTTGCCAGCTGTGAGAACTTGGCACGCTATGGGCACTAAAAAGTCCATTTTACAGAAGGCTGTGAGAGCCCCGGTTAATCTTGCCTAGTTGTGGAGAGGCTGGTTAAGAGAGGCTATTTGAATGATTTTCAACAAGTATGTAGGTCCTCGCAGGTCGATGAGGGACTCTTCTATATTTTATTTTATTATAACAACATATAGAAAGGCAGCTCTTAAAGTTGGGTATAATGGCACACATGTATAACCCCAGCTGTTTGAGATGATGAGGCAGGAGGATTGCAGTTTGAGACCAGCCTAGGAAACTTAGTGAGACCCTGAGTCAGATAGGATGTGACAGGACAGGATAGCATAGGATGGGATGGGATGGGATGGGGTGGAACATGGGACGGGATGGGATAGAATAAGAGGATATGATTGGATGGGATGGGACTGGGACTGGAAGGGATGGGATGGGACAGGATAGGATAGGATGGGATGGGACGGGATAGGACAGGATAGGATAGGATGGGACAGGATTGGATAGGATGGGACAGGATTGGATAGGCTGGAAGGGGTATAGTTTAGAGACAGAGCATTTGCCTTGCATGTGCAAGGACCTGGGTTCAATCCACAGTAACACACACACACACACTTGTACACACACAAGTAGTCTAAAGTTCTGATTTACTATTCTTATTCTTATTTTGTTGTCGAGAGAGGATCTCACTAGATAGCCCAGTCTGGCCTGGAACTCATGATCCAGACTCCTGCCCCAGACTCCCAAGTGCTGCCTGCACCACCATGCCCAGTTTAAAATGCTTCACAACCTGGTCTTTTCTTTGGAAATCAGTGAGTCTTTATTCGGGCAATAGAAGTGTAAAAATCAATGAAGTCTGCTTATTAAAACACATTTGAGTGCTTAGTATCTCAAATTATATAGCTCCTTCAAGTCTTTTCTTTTCTTTTTTCCCCCAAAGAAATATGTATTGTAAGCAATGGGAAATATCTGTATTCAACAATAAAGAAAAAAAAAGCCCTCAGTGTAATTTAATGTGGGCAATCGATACTGTATGTCCCTGATTGAATTGAAAGGTGGAGATGAAGACTTTTATTGCTCCAGGACTGAAAAATGTTGGTGCCTGCAATCCAGCAGTCAGTCACAGAATCTCCAGTCACTATGTGTTTTCATTGCTTCTAATATTTTGCAGCTGTAGGCTACTTCCTGTCCTGCCTAATGATGGGGCCAACCTTGACCAGGAGCCCTCTGTACCTTCCCCAGAGCCCTCGGGGCTCACCCACTCTTTTACATCAGCCTTCAGAGTATATGAAATAGAAATTGGAATAAAAGTGGA